TTTAGCCTTTTCTGTTTGGCTTCTTTTACTTAGTAATATATATTTAAGGTCCCTCCCTCCATGTCTTTTCATGACTTGATAGTTCATTTCTTTTTCGTGCTGAATAATATTCATTGTCTGGATGTACCACAGTTTATCCATTCCCCTACTGAAGGACACTTTGCTTCTAATTTTGGCAATTATGAATAAAGCTGCTATAAATGTTTACATGCAGGTTTTTGTATGGACATAAGTTTTCAACTCCTTTTGGTAAATACTAAGGAGCATGATTACTAGATCATATGGTCAGAATATATTAATTTTGTAAGAAACCATAGTGGTTGTATTGTTTTGCATTCCCACCAACAATCAATGAGCGTTCCTGTTGCTCACATCTACCCCAGCATTTGGTGTTGTCAAAGTTCTGGATTTGGGCCATTCTGATAGGTGTGTACTGGCATCTCATTTTTGTTTTAATTTGCAGTTCCCTAATGACATTGAAGCTGAGCATCTTTTCATATTCTTATTTGCCATCTGTATATTTACTTTGGTGAAGTGTCTGTTTAGATCTTTTACCCATTTACTAACCAGGCACTCATTTTCTTATTGTGACTTTTATGAGTTCTTTGTAAGTCCTTGATCAGATATGTCTTAAAAAAATTTTTTTTTGCTTGGCCAGTGTGGCTCAGTGGTTGAGCCAGAAGATCATGGTTTGATTCCTGGTCAGGGCACATGCCTGGGTTGCAAGCTTGATCCCCAATAGGGGGCATACAGGAGGCAGCTGATCAATGATATTTCTCTCTCATTGATGTTTCTCTCTGTCTCTTTCCTCTCTAAAAAAAACCAAAATCAATAAAAACATTGAAAAAATATATGAAACATCAGATAAAATTTAAAAAAGATCAGTGGAAGAGATGTTCTAGGAAGAGCAGTAGTCCAAAATTTAGCTCTTTAAGGGTTAGCTTAAAAGAAAAAGGGAAATGTGATAGGAATAATGGTTTTTTAGTGGCGGATAAAATAACACACGTAAGTAGTCAAGAAATTGACTTCTGGACATTACATTTTAGCATGCATTTATAGAGCAAATTCTCATACCTAGGGAATTTGAGTGGTATAGTGACAACATCTTTAAATGAGGTTTGTAAAAGATGCAGAAGTGTTCTTTATTTGGTTATTTATAACTAGAGGCCCGGTGCATGAAATTCATGCACGGGTAGGGTCCCTAGGTCTGGCCGGCGATCAGGGCCATTTGGGGCCTTCCAGCTGCCAGCCAGGGCCTCCCTTCCCCAGGTGCCGGCTGCCGGCCAGGGCCTTCCTTCGTTTCACACCGCCCCCTGGTGGTCAGCGCACATCATAGCGAGTGATAGAACTCCCAGTCTCGCAGTTGAACTCCTGAGGGGACAATTTACACACACACAAACACGCCAGATTATTATGACCACCGGACGTTTGTAGGCAAATTGGCTATAATTTCACGCTGAAGTTTCTGGAGGGCCAGGCCATTATAAATAGGGAAGCAGGTTGTTTACCACGACAGTAGAAGTGATTTTTTTCTGAAGATATGGGTAAACACGTGATTTAACAGCCTTTGAACGTGGGATATATACATATATATATCTACACTAATAAAAGACAAAGATGCTAATTAACCATACCTTTGCTACGCCCACCAGCCAATCAGAGCGACTATATGCAAATTAACCCAACCAAGATGGTGGCTAATTTGCATATACCGGCTGGGAGCGAAGACCGAAGACAACGTAGAAGGAAGCCAAGCGCTCCAGAAGGGAGCAAAGTAGAGGCGGCGGAGACAGGAACGGAGCCAAGGTGGCGGAGGCGGGAGCGAAGCCAGGGGGCAGCGGGCGGTGGCGGGCAGCGGGAGGATGCAAGAGGCGGCGGGAGGTGGGAGGGAGCCGAGGCAGCAGAGGCAAGAGCGAAGCCCTATTCTTGCAGGAATCTGTGTGTGTATGTATGTATACACACACACACCCCTTACCTAATAATAGACAAACATGCAAATTGACCATACTTTTGCTACGCCTTAAGCCACACCCACCAGCCAATCAGAGCGACTATATGCAAATTAACCCAACTAGATGGCGGCCAGCAGCCACGGAGCAAGGAAAGGCTGGGAGCTTCAGTCACCAGGGGGCTTGGTCAGTCTGAAAACAGCCATCAGCCCCTCATCCAGGCTAGCCAGGAACCCCAGTGGGGACCCCCACCCTGAAGGGGGTGTGGGCAGCCTGAAAACGGCCCTCAGCCCCTCACCCAGGCTGGCCAGGCACCCCAGTGGGGACCCCCACCCTGAAGGGGGTTTGGGCAGCCTGCAAACAGCCATCAGCCCCTCACCCAGGCTGGCCAGGCACCCTAGTGGGACCCCCACCCTGATCCAGGACACCTTTCAGGGCAAACCAGTCGGCCCCCACCCGTGCACCAGGCCTCTATTCTATATAATAAAAGGGTAATATGCACATTGACCCTAACAGCAGAACGACTGGGAATGACTGGTCACTATGACACACACTGACCACCAGGAGGCAGACGCTCAATGCAGGAGCTGCCCCCTGGTGGGCAGTGCGCTCCCACAGGGGGAGCTCTGCTCAGCCACAAGCCAGGCTGCCGGCTGCCAGTGCAGCGGTGGTGGTGGGACCCTCTCCTGCCTCCTCAGCAGCACTAAGGATGTTCAACTGCAGCTTAGGCCTGCTCCCCGCTGGCAAGTGGACATCCCCCGAGGGCTGCCGGGCTGCCAGAGGGATGTCTGACTGCCAGCTTGGGCCCAATCCCCCAGGGTTCAGGCCTAAGCCTAGCAGGTGGACATCCTCTGAGGGGTCCCAGACTGGGAGAGGGCATAGGCCGGGCTGAGGGACCCTCCTGAGTGCACAAATTTTTGTGCACCGGGCCTCTAGTATGTGTGTGTGTGTATGTGTGTGTGTGTACGTGTGTGTGGCCAGATTTATGACCACCCCATCAGTACTTCGTTGGGCCACCTTTTGCCTTCAATACTGCGGCGATTCTTCTTGGCATTGACTCCACGAGATGTTGAAAGGTGATGCTAGGAATCTGACACCATGCCTGATGAATAGCACCGTCCAGTTCTGTGAGATTTGATGGTTGTGGAACCAGCTGCCTGTGGACTGAAGGGTCCCAGATTCGATTCAGGTCAAAGGCACAGGCCCAGGTTGCGGGCTTGATCCCCAGTGGGGGGTGTGTAGGAGGCAGCTGATCAATGATTCTCTCATCATTGATGTTTCTCTCTCTCCCTCTCCTTTCCTCTCCGAAATGAATAAAAAAATTTTTTTAAAGTAAGGTAGAAACAGTGCATATAATGAGTTACTATTGGATTAAAGAAGAAAGAAGAGAGTAAGTATTTATACTCATGCATGCTGGAATATCTCAAGACGTATTCAGAAGAAGCACCTCTGGGACATCAGTGGGAGACAAGCCTTGCGCAGTGTGTACTATTGAACAAGTAGGTTCTAGACACATACACCTGTGTAAATATAGAGCAATAGGGTGTTAATGCTGAAGGAATTTAGAAATTATTTGGACCACCTCATTTTAAAACTGGGAAAGCTAGAGAGAGAGAGATCTCCCCCTCCTCCAGCTTGTGTGGCTGATTGGTGTAAGAGGCAGAACTGGAACCCAAGTCTCCTGGCTGCCCTTTTCTATGAAGTAGAGAGCACATAACTGCGGTTTAAACTTTGACATCTTTTTTTTTAATTTCTTTATTGGTTAAGGTATTACAAATGTGTCCTCATCCCCCTATTAACCCCCCCCCCCCCCCCGCCATACACACACACTCATACTCTCATCCCCCTGTTGTCCGTGTCCATTGGTTTGGCTTATATGCATGCATACAAGTCCTTTGGTTGATCTCTTCCCCTTACCCCGACCCTCCCCTAAACTTTGACATCTTGAATAAGATTGAAATGCAGTTAACGTGTTGATGCTACTTTGGGGACACAGTACCTGCCTTTTTACAGTCTATTCCTATCATTCTAATACTGTGTGTGGGGAAATAATGTAGTTTATGAGTATCAGGAATGCTGTTGCTGTAGCTCTGTTTTAATGACCTCCAGAAATGTGAGTGTTCTAAATATTTCATTCACTCCATTTGGCTTTCAGAAATTTCCTAAGGAATAATGCTTGGCATTCTTCTTGGTCAATTATAAGTCTTATATGCTTGTTCTAAAATATTCACGCTATACACAGGGTTTTAAAGTGAAGTGCCTCCTCCTCCTCAGTGCTGCCAATTGTACTGTACAGAAGAAATTATTATTTCTTACATGAATGCTTTCAGATGGACATTATTTATTTTTAAATATATTTTTATTCATTTCAGAGAGGAAGGGAGAGAGAGCGATAGAAACATTAATGAGCTTGGCCAGTGTAGCTCAGTGGTTGAGCATCAACCTATGAACCAGGAGGTTGAGGTTTGATTCCCAATCAGGGCACATGCCAGGTTTCGGTCTGGATCCCCAGTGTGGGGTGTGCAGGAGGCAGCCAATCGATGATTCTCTCTCATCATTGATGTTTTTATTTCTCTCTCACCCTCTCCCTTCCTCTCTGAAATCAATAAAAATAATATATTTTTTTAAAAAGAAACTTGTGATTCAGGCTTCTGAATCACAAGTGAGATTGCCATTTTCCTCCTCAAAACCAGGGGGGATTCCCAGTTGCCATAACTCTTTGGTACGCTTACCATATGAACTTTTTTTTTTCAATCCTCACCTGAGGGTATTTTTTCCATTGATTTTTAGAGAGAGTGGAAGGAGGGCATGTGCCCCAACTGAGGCCAGGGATCAAACCTGCAACCGAGGTAAGCGCCCTTGAATGGGGATTGAACCGGCAACTCTTTGGTCTGCAGGCTGATGCTCTAACCACTGAACAACCAGTCAGGGCGCCATATGGACTTTTTTTTTTAAAGTAATAAATGCAGTTTTAATTGATCTATAGATGGAAACTACTCCACAAGGTGAGTAACCATTTCCGCTCCTTAATGTTAGAGCCGTATCCTGGACAGTATTCAGGAAAAAAGTTTATTTCATTATTTCACTTCATCTGTGGTATTAGAAAAACAAGGCATGATTATCAGTTTAGATGACATGCATGGCTGGCAGCCAAACCCAGTCCCTATATTCCATATTTTTTCTTTAGTTCTTCTACTTGGTTGATGTACACTTTCATGGCGTCTTCCTTGGACGTCCCTTTCAGCTCATTCCAGGCATCCCACTTGGCCTTGCCTTTGAGGTCCAGCATCCCAGGCCGCTCTGTATTTATGTCACCCACAGTTGCTTGTTTGTAGCGGTTGTAGATGAATAGCATCTCATCGTCTGCTGGCTGGGTCTTGAGGTGCTTAACATCCTCAGCAGCTTTGTCGAACTCAGCCTGAGACCTGCTGGTGGGGTAGGTGCAAGGACTGCAGGAGCTGGCGAAGGCGGCGAGGGGCTGGGAGAAGTAGCGCAAGACGCGTCTCCATATGGACTTTGTATACTGATCTCAATCTAATTTATCAGCCTCCTCTGTTGCCCTCTGCCTCCTTTCCATCATGCACCCCACACCATAGCAAACTGCTTGAGTTTCTCAGCATCTCCTGGGTACCGTTTCTGCATCTCTTTACTATTGCAGTGGCCTTTGCCCTTTTTTTCTGGACTCAAATTCCTCCTCTACGCCCAGCTAAAATGTTCCCTCTTGAAAAGTGTTCTGGGACCCTCTCAGTATCTGCTTTCCTCCACATTAGTTCTTATCAACATGATGTTGTGGCTTCTCAGGCCCTTCCTTAGATCAAGGGCTAAAAAACTTTTCCTATAAAGGACCAGAGTAGACCTTTTGGCTTTGTGGGCCACATGATCTCTGCCACAACTGCTCAGCTTTGCCATTGTAGCTTGAAAGCAGCCACACACTGTAGTATATGAATGAGTTTAGTCATGTTTCAATAAACTTTACTTATGGGCACTGAAATTTGAATTTCATATAAATTCACATGTCAAAGTATTCTTTTTTTTTTTTTACTTTTTTCAACCTCTTGAAAGACTATTCTTGGGTCATGGGCCATACAAAAACAGGTGGTAAGCTAGATTTGGTCTGTGGACCACAGTTTCCAGTCCTTGCATTAGACAGTGGGCTGTTCAAGGGCAAACTTTTATATATTTTTGTACATCTCTGCCCCCCCCCCCCCACTCACCTCCATGCCTTAGTTCATTTCTCAGCAAATAATGACTGGACAGCAGTTGTTTATGGAATAAATGCTCAAGTAAGGAATTACCTAAAATATGGTAGTTTCTAAACAAATGTGAAAAATAATAGAGCTTCATATTGAGAATTAGTAATCTTTTTTTGTTTGTCTTGTTAATCCTCATCCGAGGATATATTTCCATTAAATTTTTTTTTTTAGAGTGAGAGAGTCGAAGTGAGGGGGAGAGACAGAGAGAAACATTGATGTGCTAGAGACACATCAATTGGTTGCCTCCCGTGCCCCAACTGGCACTGGGGATTGAGCCTGCAATTGAGGTATGTGCTCTTGAGTGGAATTGAACCTGGGACCCTTCAGTCTGAGGGCCGATGCTCTATTCGTTGAGCCAAACCGGCTAGGGCTAGTAGTCATTTTAAAAATATATATATTTTTATTGATTTCAGAGAGGAATGGAGGGGGGGAGAGAGATAGAAAAATCAATGATGAGAGAGAGTCATTGATTGCCTGCCTCCTGCACACACCTTACTGGGGACCAAGCCCACAAACCAGGCATGTGCCCTGACCGGGAACCATGACCTCCTGGTTCATAGGTCCATGCTCAACCACTGAGCCACACCAGCCAGGCTGGTAGTCATTTATATATATATGTTAATAAACATTCTCAGAAAAGAGTGTAAAAAGGTTGCATAATACAGAGGAGTACCCCTCTATGTATATGACAACTCTGCCAGGAAAGATCTAGTAAATAAGCAAATAACTCTGCACATGGGAGAGGACATTGAAAAGTGCTCCAAATCTTTGATTTGAATCAGAGATTATCAGCGGTTCTCAACCTGTGGGTCGCGACCCCTTTGGCAGTCGAACGACCCTTTCACAGGAGTCGCCTAAGACCATCCTGCATATCAGATATTTACATTACGATTCATAACAGTAGCAACATTACAGTTATGAAGTAGCAACGAAAATAATTTTATGGTTGGGTCACAACATGAGGAAGTGTATTTAAAGGGCCAGAAGGTTGAGAACCACTGGATTAGATGAAAATGCCTCTCCACCTGGCCTGAAGAAAACAGTGTCGTGGCTTTTACCCAATGGCAGTTATGTTTTCAGAGGGTGTTTCATGTGGGTTTAGCTACATCATGGACCCAGTCAGGCATGTAGACCGTGGTTTGAACCCTTTCTGTGCCCTTAGCCACATCACCAAATCATCTAAGGCTCACTTTCCTCATTTCTATAATGGCGAGAATTATATAATACCTGGTTTGCATGGTTGTTTGAAAAGTAGAGAGTGCAGTGAAAATAGAATATGTAAAAAGCCAGCACATGGCTTAACGTGGGCACTGAATAAATACTCCTGCGGCTGTAATTATCCCTGTATTTCCCCTTGGTATTAGTCTGTTTTCTTTTAGTATTTACAAGAGTTGTGGGAGGGGGTTAAGGTTTATAAGAACACATTCGATGTTCCAGTAAGTTACAGTCAAACAGTATACTTTCAATCTTTGTTTTTATTTTTATATAACCTGCAAATATGGTCAAGTTTACTGGTTTCTTTAGTCTTCTTTTTAGAAATAAAAAAGTCATTGAATACCAAGCCACATAAAGTGTGCTTATTTTAATATTTAGACATTTATTTGAAAAGACAGAGCAGGACACTCTCATTAGGAAGTCTAGTACTATACTCCATACCCTTGGACTCATACTGAAGAACGATATCTGTGTATAATAGTTTGTGTGTGTTAAACCTTTTCATATTGCTCTTAAAATACTTGTTGCTTCCAAAGTAAAAATTATTAGAATATCTATTCACAGCACAGATACAGTGTTTCTTTGGACTAGGCAGGGAATTTCCTTTTTTGTTAAATAAACAACCTGATTAAAGTGAAGGGCTGTTTATGAGGAGTTTTGTAAACTGTTTATGTCTGCTTGTTCCTCCTTGTAGCAGTATTTGAGCTCCTGTGTAGGAAAAAAAGTAGCTAAGGGGTAAAATGGCTTTAAAACTCTAGGAACTGAAACTACTAATGCTTGGCCCTGTGATAATTCACTGGTTTAATTTGAAAGGTTATTTCACCTCCTACTCAGCTTTACTCTTCTTTTAAACATAGGGTCATCATGCATAAGAACTGTGGCAGCTGTCTGTAAAAAAAAAAGAAACTATTTATCTGGAATCCAAGCAAGTACAGATAATTATTCACTATTATGTTGGTCTTATTTTTAAGAAGGGACACACAAATTACTAGAAAGAACTTGTCTGTAGAAGCAGTATGCAGCGCATATCACAGATTTGATAGGGTGCAGCCCTGTGCCAGAAGGGCTCTCTGGCAGTAATGGCAGGCCTGAGGGGCTGTCAACTGGGACATTACATTGCTGGAAATGAGATCATGTTAGGTGCATTACTGCATGCAATTTTCTGGGAATTAGTAATCTATCTAAGATGTATTACCATAGATAATCTAATTTTTAAGGAAAATATTTCCAGAACTTCAATAACCTGGGATACCTGGAATAGATCTACCACTACTATACTCTTAGTGGTGGGAATGGAAACTTGCATGACACCAAGGGTAGGTAGAGGGAACGGAGATAGCTCTTTTAGTTAGAGCTCTGCAAATGCGCGTATTCCCCCTGGTTTGTCTCATCCTGGCTGGAAGAGTCTAAGACTGTTGTTTTCCAAATCTCAGTCTCCTTCCCTCGTCTTAGCTCCAGTCCACATTTATGGTTGTAACTAGAAGTATTCATTAGACATCTCATTGAACTATCAAATTCCTGTGTTCAGAGAACAGCCAGAACATGGGGGAACTCTAGGAAGAAAGACTATATATTATTATAGAAAATCAATGAAGGATTAACCCCCTTTTCTACTTTTTCTTCTGGAATCTTTTTTTTAAGGGTATTATTTTATTGATTGATTGATTACTGATTTTTTTATTTTTTTTTTAGGGACAGAGAAAAAGAAACATTGATATGAGAGAGAGATATCAACTGGTTGCCTCCTGTACACGCTCTGACCAGGGATCAAACCGGTAACCTTTTGGTGTATGGGATAACGCTCCAACCAGCTGAGCCACCCTGCCAGGTCTCTTCTGGAATCTTCCCTGCAGATTAGATAGATATGGCTTTAACTGCCATTGTCTAGAGTTGTCTTTGAAGGACTTTTAAAATAAAAACTTTTTAACTTGAATTAACAAACAATTACATATGGGCTTATTTTTCTTTTGACAAGGAATTTATTTATTTTTTTATTTTTATTTATTTATTTTTTTAATTCTTTATTGTTTAGATTATTACATTTGTTCCTCTTTTTTCCCCCCATAACTCCCCTCCACCCAGTTCCCACCCCACCCTCCACCCTCACTCCCCACCCACTGTCCTCATCCATAGGTGTACGATTTTTGTCCAGTCTCTTACCACATCCCCCACACCCCTTTCCCCCCCAAGAATAGTCAGTCCATTCCCTTTCTATGTCCCTGATTCTATTATAATCACCAGTTCATTCTGTTCATCAGATTATTTATTCACTTGATTTTTAGATTCACTTGTTGATAGATGTGTATTTGTTGTTCATAATTTGTATCTTTACCTTTTTCTTCTTCTTCCTCTTCTTAAAGGATACCTTTCAGCATTTCATATAATACTGGTTTGGTGGTGATGAACTCCTTTAGCTTTTTCTTATCTGTGAAGCTCTTTATCTGACCTTCAATTCTGAATGATAGCTTTGCTGGATAAAGTAATCTTGGTTGTAGGTTCTTGGCATTCATTACTTTGAATATTTCTTGCCACTGCTTCTGCCTACAAAGTTTCTGTTGAGAAATCAGCTGACAGTCGTATGGGTACTCCCTTGTAGGTAACTAACTGTCTTTCACTTGCTGCTTTTAAGATTCTCTCTTTGTCTTTTGCTCTTGGCATTTTAATTATGATGTGTCTTGGTGTGGTCCTCTTTGGATTCCTTTTGTTTGGGGTTCTCTGCGCTTTCTGGACTTGTAAGTCTATTTCTTTCACCAGGTAGGGGAAGTTTTCTGTCATTATTTCTTCAAATAGGTTTTCAATATCTTGCTCTCTCTCTTCTTCTGGCACCCCTATAATTCGGATGTTGGTACGCTTGAAGCTGTCCCAGAGGCTCCTTACACTATCTTCGTATTTTTGGATTCTTTTTTCATTATGCTTTTCCGGTTGGGTGTTTTTTGCTTCTTCGTATTTCAAATCTTTGACTTGATTCTTGCCATCCTCTGGTCTGCTGTTGGGAGTCTGTATAATATTCTTTATTTCAGTCAGTGTATGCTTAATTTCTAGTTGGTCCTTTATCACAACATCGAGGATCTCACTAGATTTCTTGAGGGTCTCATTAAGTTTATCGGCGCTTTCTAGAAAGTTCTTGAAAAACCTTAAAAGTGTGGTTTTGAACTCTATATCCAGTAGTTTGCTTTCCTCCATTCTGTCATTTGTGTCCTGTTTCTTTGTCTCGGCATTTTTTTGCTTCCGCTGTGTCGATAGAGTGGCTTTCTGTGCTAAGTGTCCTATAGGGCCCAGTGGCTCAGCCTCCCCAATTACCTGAGGTAGACACTCTTGGTGCACCCCCTTGTGGGCTTTGTGCACAGTCTTGTTGTAGTTAAGCCTTGATTGTTGTAGGTATCACTGGGAGGATTTGACCTCCAGGCCAATTGGCTGTGAGAATCAGCTGTGTCTACAGTGGGAGAACTTCTGTGCTGAAGACACCCTTATGGGGCAAGACTTGCTTCAGTGGGGCTTTGGTGCTCACTGAGTGTGTCCCTTATGGATCTGAGGAGTTGTAATTGGATGGTCCCACTCTGACCACTGGGTACACTGGCTCTTGGATCTAAGGAGGTGCTAATCTAGCCTCTGTCTGAGGCTACCCAGCAGAAGCCAGCTGTAAAGCAATGCAAGTTGCCTGGGGGCTTGGGGCAGCTGCAGTTTGTTAAGTAATTTTCAGATTACAAAGGGCCGGGCCTTTCATATGCAAAAGCCTCCCTGCAGGGCTTGGG